CTGCAGGGTACTTCCTGGGTTCAGACCACTGAACTTTTGGCTAGCATGCAGGCTTTTAATCTGCCACCAGCGCTCTGTTTATCTGTTTCAAAACCCAATCCACTGCCATCAAATTAATTCTAACACATACAGCCACCCCTGCATTTGGCTTCTGAGATGGTAAGAGTGTAGAGGGGCAGACGGCTCAGTCTCTCTCCTGACGAGTGGGTGCTGGGTCTGTGTCAGACGGTGCGGTTAGGGGTCCATCACCTAACCCACAGTGCCACTAGCACGATTTCTTGTCGGTGTAGAAAATCCCGTGGCCATGGAGTTGATTCTAACCCGTGGGGACTCTCCAGAGGGTTATTGAGGCCGTTTGTGTCCATGGCAGTAGACAGCCTCGTCTTTTCCCCATGGAGAGGATGGTGGGTTTGAACTGCTGTCTTTGCAGTTAGTAGTCCACCACTTTCCTTACCCAACAGTGCCACCGGGCAGTACCTGCGGGGTTCCAAAGTGAAGAGACTTTACATTTGGCTACTTTACTGGCACACTTCTGTCTCAGCGCAGACAGGAAGATATCTTACAGAAGAAAGACTGGCCAATCCCATTTAAGACAGTTGCACACTTAGAGGGATTTCCCCTAAGATTCCCCATAGTAAGTGAGAGTATGATCTAACCTCTTACGGAATAATGACATCCGTTTGCAGGCTAATGCTTGGCAGCCTGGATGCCGCGGGAAGGAGGAGGCCGGTCCCTGATGTCCAAGGCTGGCGGGTGACGAGACAGACCGAAGAGCTGTGTAGTTGGGGGCTCCGGAGCTGAGGCGGGGAAGACCAGTGGGGAGGGTGGCTGTGTTCAGAGATAGAGCGAGGACCGGGATGTCCGAACGAAGGGAGCAAAAACGGCCCGCGTGACCACGAGCAGGGAAGAGTGGACGGCTAGGGGACTGCAAAGCTCTCGCTGTCAGGAAATCCCCCAACCACACTCGCTGCCATCGAGTTGGTTCCGACTCAGCCATCCTGCGGGCAGTGCAGAGTAGAACTGCCCCGAGGGTTGCCAAGGCTACACATTCTTATGGGAGTAGAGAGCCTCATCTTCCTCCCATTGGACAGCTGGTGGTTTGGAATTGCTGACCTTGTAGTTAGCAGCCCAACACGTAACCCAGTCAGCCACCAGGACTCTTGGCTGTTAGAAAGTGGTGGTCTAAAGATGAGACCTTTATATGGCTTTCAGGAGTTACAGCCTCCCAAACCCACAGGGGTGGCTTTACCCTGCCCT